AGCCTTTTCCAGAGAATCTCTGTCATCACAGCGTGAAGGTTTGAAACCCTGTTAAGATGCAAGCAGAGACTTGCTAAGTACACATTCTGGTAAGACTCAGATCATCTTCCAGAGTCAAGAGAAGACGATCAAGCTTTGTAGACAAAATAACTTACAGGATCTTTGCACCACGCACACTGTGGCCCGATCTGAATACACTCTCCACATGTTTTGGCATTTGCAGAAATACACATATTGCTATCTGAATGCAAAACACATACACAACAACTTTAGAAGACAAGATCTAACATTGTACAATGTTAAGTCAGATTCAAATCGTCATCATTTCCCAGTGACTAAAGCATTATGAAAAGAAAAGCCAACAAGTAGATCTTTTGCAGAATAACTCAAGAAGGTATTTTTAAAGTTATTTCTTTGTATATTTATGCCAAAACAGTGCACTTATTCATACAATAAACTCGTAAACCTAAACATTAAAAGAATGCCCCTAAGGCACTAGAAAGTAGCCGTGTTGTTGGCGATAAATGACTTGTATTACCTGTTTTTGATCTGACATGAGAGACAAATCCTAGTAGAGCTGATATTAATAGCACCTTCATATCCATCTAAATGCAAAATAACACAAATTACACAGAAACACATCAGGGAGAGAGAGAGAGAGCAATCACTTATGTGCAAATACACAAAGTCCTTGTCTGATACTCACATAAACTGTACTGTGAAAGATAGTTCAAAACATTTTTTTAAATGTGCATTAATAATCTTGACTCTTTTTCTTTGATAAGAAGTATAATACTCTTTGCACCAAAATGTAGGTTGCTGTTAAAAACACAGGAGTGTCTCTGACTCAGAACAATGAAAGAGACAGTTAATCATTGACTTTGATAACAAATAAGATATTGAGAAAGAAACAGCAATACCAAGAAACAGGCTCTTACTATTCTGTTATTATCTTACTATCTGCATGTTAGTATCTGTATATATATATTCTGAATTTCAGAATAAAGCCATATTAGCGTAAATGATTGATCACTGAATTATAGATTTGCTA